AGAAGAAAGACCATAAAAACCCCTGTTACTCGAACCAAGCAAGGTTCCAGTATAACTGTGTTTATTCTGTTTAAATAATAACCTTGCTAAGTGAGCAGCAGTGTTAGCCTCTGAGTTTAGTAAGTAATAACCCTGTTGTTATCCTTTAGTGATGTTTGAAGACTAGCAGACCCATAGAAAGTAATCTTGAACTAGTTTTCTAACCTCTTTCTGTGTTGTCTTAAGTCATTCCTGTTACTCCCTAGTAATCACTGTCTATTCAATGCTAACTAATGCTTTAGTTAAATGTTTCATATACAATTTCTTACTAAATTATCCATGGAAACGCTCGTAGGCATCACCAGCCTCTCAGTTAAAGTGGAATGTCTACTCTTTTCTTGTGTGACCCGAGCGCCACCAAGGGGACAAGAAAGGTATAACACGCAAGTGTTTAAAACTCGGCTTACACTGACAGAATTGTTAAGTAGGCCTAACTATCACCATGTAATTGCATAAACGAAATTTTACTGTCATGCTTACATCTAAATTGTCTCATGAGTTAAAACCAGTAACCAGCAAGTATACTGAAGACATGTAATCAAGCTTTGTTACGTTTTATATAACCATTATAACCTTTTTCCATAGTGTTTAGCCTTGTTTTAACTGTCTTTATCCGAATGTTTAGAAGTAAGTATTTTTCCAAATGTCGATATTGTGGAGAGAGAGAGATCAAAGAGAAATACGCGCAACGTATATTTCTTTATCCCAAAAAGTTAACACCTTAGCGACGTTTGGGAGACCATCCCCAAAATTGACGTCACTACTTAGCGGAATCAATAAAAAGGCCTTGCTGTCTTTTGTTCTAGCTTCTTACCTCTTCAAAACTCTTCGTTTAAACTTTCTTGAAACTAAACGTATACGTTCTCTTAACTTCCTTTACTTTTGAAATTCCGATTTTCGTTTCGTACTTAAATCTCCTTCAGACGAGCTGAGAAAGCTACGACCCTGAATTCCAAATTTCTCAGCGGGAGATTTGATTTTCTTTATTCTGTTTGGAGCTGCCTGTTTAACCTCAGCAACATTAAATAGCCTATATTCCCGAGGCCTCGCGAACCTACGGTGAATGTGTGCGTTTATTTGATTTTGTTGTTGCAACCTCATCCGACCGTTGTGAGCAACTTTGGACCAGAAACTCAGAAGCCTTCATTTATGGCCTTGAATAAATGAAACCATGGCTCTGAAGACAGAACCCTGAGTGGGCCCTATAGCGACACCAAACGAACTGAGATCAGAGCAAAAGCCTTGGCTGACAGCCCGTTGCTGCAAGCGCTTCCCACAGAGGACTCCGGACCCAATCCACCGGTTTCAACCCAACTCGAAAACGCCACTGGGGTCGGGCCAGAACCGACTTCCCGAGCCAACCGGCAGTCGAGCCTCGCCACGGGACCTGCGGCAACGGTAGGCCAAAACAAACAACACTCTTTGGTTGGTCGTTGGTGTTCTATGGGCTCCATCCACAGTTAATAACCCTTAGATTAGACAAATTAAATCTGCAATCCAATTTCGGTCATTTGTTCCCTCATACTCGTAGAATTCTCTCCCTCTACAATAAACTGAAACTCCATCGAACCTTACATAGGCTACCCTGTTTAGTACCTCCTTGTTGTCATATTAACTGTTATCCCTGTAATATCACCACATTTACCCACTATTGTACTCTTTTTTGTTAGTTAATAAATTCACTTTGAGCACAGCGATGTATGTGTGTGTGTTATTCAGAATCTAGAGTCCCTATACACAGAACTTACGCTCAGATCTGAGACTGACTGATTGACCTTAACTAATGAATTAACCGAACTCTGTATAATTCTCAGGCTATACTCAAGGACCTAAAGCCTTGGGCGGACAAGCAAATCTTTAGGTGGTGCTCCTAATTTCGAGGTATAAATTGATATTCCCAGAAATATTAATTTTCATAACTGTATTAAAATTAGTATTCCCGGAAATATTAATTTTCATAACTGTATTAAAATTTTACGTAGCCGAGGTCTGCTACAACATCCATTTAAACACTGACTGGCAGAATTTCAGTCTTAGTATCATTGGACCTCAGTGCTGTATTCGACATTGCGGTTCAATCCAAGGCTTCTCCAGGCTGCATGTCGAATTATCCTTGGGAAAGATACTGAATTGCCCCTGGTGGCTGTTGGCAGATGTACTGTAAAAGCGCTTTTACGCTTTGCACTATACGGACCATTACTCTCCCGGAATGTTCATTCAAGGCTGAGAGAGGATCTCTGTTCCCCAAAACATAGAAACCTAGACTGTGTAAATGATTATGCATCCCTTTGCTCGGGGCCAGATGCCTGAAGCTACCCTAGGCGGCAGGTCTCTGGAACAGCTGTATATGTGTTTTAGTACTCTTTATTCTCTTTTGTTAATAAATTCTTCAAAGACAACAGTTTTCAATTATTTGCGCAACCCCTCACTAGCAAGATACAATTTCCACAACAAAGAGCAGGTCAGCATATACACATTTAGATGCTTCACAACCTAACCAGTCCAGCAGGGGGCGGGCTGAGGCAGAGACACCGAAGAAGAGTGGAAACTCAATAGGTGCGTTTGACTTCATGTGGCGCTGAACAGCGCTGAGAGAGAGAGAGAGAGAGAGAGAGAGAGAGATCATTGCTTAGTAACGCGCAAACACACACACACAGCAGTCCACTACTTGCCCCAGATGTCTGTGATATTGCAACAGGGTGTAGGCCGACTCACACTAGGCAATCCGTTAAGTTACAATCGCCTGAAAAATGCCATCAGTGACATTCCGCCCTTTATGGTAGTATTAAAGTGTTATTATTTTACACACTGCTGGCGCCGGCACACAGTAGAAGCATATTATCATTTGTAGCACTGTACTAATTGGAGGATGCATCAAAAAGCCAATAATACTAAACAAATAAGCTGCAGTCAATACAGAGTAATACAGTAGGCTACAACACAACTGAGTTCATTTTCACGGGTCGCGGCCTCAACCTGTTTGGTTAAAACTGTGCGCACAATAGTGGCTGATGGTGGAGAAGTGCAGCCATCCTGTCAGTCATGCGATGCACAGCGGAATTCATTAGGAAAGTGTGTTCATTTAAGTCTGTTTATCTTGTTTAATGTAAATAATAGTAGATACTAATTACAATGAAAAATACATTACTTGTGATTCAAAATAATGGTTGTTGATAAATGAATTAGAGACCCCCACAGATGCATGACTTTACTGCTTCCATGGGAGCTCAGACGCTCCTTATGGAGCTGAGCTCCCACTGGCTCCCACGGAACTTGAACCCTGCCAATAACCCAATAGTATTAACTATATTCTGCTCACATTACAACAGTTGTCTATGACAGCCTTGTTTTGTTGGCCTTGGCCATTTTGTTTGTTATGTACAGATTTTCTTTGTTGTAGCTTTGTTGTGTCAGCTACTAGCAGTTGGTAAGGGTGAGCAGCTCTTTTTGTTTGCACCCTTTTTCCCCCTGTTTTTGATAGAAGCCTACACTCACCTAAAGGATTATTAGAACACCATACTAATACTGTGTTTGACCCCCTTTCGCCTTCAGAACTGCCTTAATTCTACGTGGCATTGATTCAACAAGGTGCTGAAAGCATTCTTTAGAAATGTTGGCCCATATTGATAGGATAGCATCTTGCAGTTGATGGAGATTTGTGGGATGCACATCCAGGGCACGAAGCTCCCGTTCCACCACATCCCAAAGATGCTCTATTGAGTTGAGATCTGGTGACTGTGGGGGCCATTTTAGTACAATGAACTCATTGTCATGTTCAAGAAACCAAGTTGAAATGATTCGAGCTTTGTGACATGGTGCGTTATCCTGCTGGAAGTAGCCATCAGAGGATGGGTACATTGTGGCCATAAAGGGATGGACATGGTCAGAAACAATGCTCAGGTAGGCCGTGGCATTTAAACGATGCCCAATTGGCACTAAGGGGCCTGAAGTGTGCCAAGAAAACATCCCCCACACCATTACACCACCACCAATGTGACCTGTAGCATCAACAAGGCATTTTCGCCCACAGGACTGCCGCATACTGGATATTTTTCCCTTGTCACACCATTCTTTGTAAACCCAGAAATGGTTATGCGTGAAAATCCCAGTAACTGAGCAGATTGTGAAATACTCAGACCGGCCCGTCTGGCACCAACAACCATGCCACACTCAAAATTGCTTAAATCACCTTTCTTTCCCATTCTGACATTCAGTTTGGAGTTCAGGAGATTGTCTTGACCAGGACCACACCCCTAAATGCACTGAAGCAACTGCCATGTGATTGGTTGATTAGATAATTGCATTAATGAGAAATTGAACAGGTGTTCCTAATAATCCTTTAGGTGAGTGTAGTTTAGAGCTTTGTCTTTTTTTACTTTTTGTTTTTGGTTTAGGCGAGTTTCAGGTTTCTCAGACTGTTTTGGTTGTTGTTTTGGGTACTGCTCATCTCTGAAGATAATAAAACTTTCCTTTGTGTCTGGCCTTGCTTGGGAATGGGAAGAGTGGGAAGCCACACATTTATGTTGCGTCCAGGATAGCCCTAGACCCTATGATGTAACACTAACAAATAAAGTGTAAAAACAATGGATCACAGAAAATGTTGGAGTGCCAGAATTTTCAGTGTTTTAAAAAAACCTGATATTAAATCTCATCCAAACATTTCAGCTAAATCAGTTTCTGAAACTAAAATGGCAACCTCATGGAGCTGCTAGAAGAAAGTCAATGAAGTTAGTAGGATTCATTCTATTGGAACTATGAATATCTAGACAACATGTCATGGCAATCAATCCAATATTTGTTGAGATACAGTGATCTAGACCAAAGTGGTGACTGAATAAGTGCTCAACCGAAAAAATGATCATAGTGACCCCCCTAGTGTGGCTAAGAAAACATTTGGTTTTCTGGTTGAATCAACACTGTCATTGTTCACTGTCACTGGAAATATTTTGATGAGAATCTGATATGGAAATCAAAACAGATGAATATTTATTTATTAAGTAAAATTAATTGCAATACATATAGTGCCAGGCACTCTTGAGAAGCACCTGCTAGATTCCCTGCTCTCTAGCTAAACAATCCACAACTCTACTTCACATAGACAGCTTTCTAAAAATTCCTCAACATCATTCACGGTAAAAAAACAACAACAAAAAAAACATGTCTAGGAATAAAAGATCATTCCAACATGGCTTCCCAATATCTCTGTGCTTTCCAACTTCCTCTCAGCTCTTCTCTGTCAGTGTAGGCGACTTTTTATCCAGGATACTTGCCAGTGTTTTGAATGGCTGCTCCCATTCACCAAGGGAGCTAAAATCCCCTGAATTGTCAATTACCCATGACTCTTCTATGGAGCTTAGTGAGCCAGTCACTGAGCCATCACCCTCGTAGGTGTAGGTCGCCAGTGAGTCATAGGGCAGGGTGGTGTAACCCTGCTGATTCTCCTCTAGCCGCTGTTCGATGAACTCCCTGATCATTTCAGCATTTCCCTCAGTCATTTTGCCATGAGAAGAGAGTGGGGTCTTGTTGTTCATGGCAGTGATCACCATGGCTGTTTGATGATGGATGTCACGTGACCTGATGTCGTCACATCGACTGCTGAGATGCAGCAGAACCCCGTCTCCGTAGCCATTTTTTTCTTTCTTGGAGGTGCTTCTGTGACTGCTGGTGCACTGGGAGTGTGTGCTGCGCAGAGTGCCTAAATCAAAGGCGTGGGTGTCCGCCTCACCACCGCCCTCATCGTCATAATGAATGACATTATCACGGATGTCCTCTTTTGATGTCATTAGGGTCTCTTTCTCTTTGTGGCGCTTCTGGCCAATGTATAATGTAGCCATAACTGCAAGACACAATAAGAATAAAATGATGGGTTAGTTTAAAATATTTTTACATGTCTGTTACTCTTTATCACGGATTTTTTACTAATATCTATTGTTGCTGCGATGGATTGGCGACCTGTCCAGGGTGTACCCCGCCTTTCACCCAATGTCAGCTGGGACCCAGTATGCAGGATAAGTGGTTGACCATGGATGTACGGATGGATAGTATCTATTGTTACTCGTAGGTCTCTCACTTTACTGATGCTTGAATGATGTTCCTCAAATGTAAGTGAGAAATTTGTCCTGCCTTTGTCACTGTTTGGCATTTATCTGAACCCAAACCTAAACAATTCTACAATTCTAGTATATCTTAATAAAATGCTCACTTATTTATGTTGAAAGAATTAAATACAAAATTCACAATCATCTAGAGAGGTGAAAAGTGACTGTGAAGTCATTGTCTCAAAGATTACGAATTCAAACAGTGCTGCTTGGCACATGCTTTATTAGAGAATTTTGTAGTTTGTCTATTTACGCAATGTTTGCTAAAGAGCATGCTACTTGCTAGCTTTACAATCAGGATAAAAACCCTAGCGATGTCACACAATTTTTTCACTTCCAGTGGGTGTCCATTATTAGGGTGTCAAAATCCACAGTGATCGTGTATGTGCCAAACAGCTCTGTTTGTATCTGTAATCCTGGAGACAAGTGATATACAGAAGGGGGACCATACCAGAAACTACAATAATAATCTCCTCCTCTGACATATATCCACACTTTCTTTCCTCTTTGATAAAGCTTATAGTTAGGGCTGGCTCAGGTGAGTCCTGAACCATCCCTTAGTTATGCTGCTATAGGCCTAGACTGCCAGGGGGCTTCCCATGATGCACTGAGCTCCTCTCTCCTCTTCTTTCTCTCCCTCTGTATGCAACCTCATCCCATTATTGCATGTTACTAACTCAACTTCTTCCCTTTCCCGTAGTTTTGTGCTTTCTCGTCCCTCTCCTCTCTCCTCCTATCACTATTCACTATCACTATTATTAGGGCCCGAGCACGACTGTGCGAGGTCCCTATTGAAATATATATATTTTTTTTTTTCTCTGCAAAGTAGGCTCAACTGACATGGCCTAAACATACTCGAAAACTCACCAAAATTTGCAAACATGTCAGAACCGGTGAAAAATTTCGTATTCTACAAATTTCGCACATGGGCGTGGCAAAATGACTCGCTAGCGCCACCTAGAAAATTGGAAAAGATTAGCCCCTCGTTCACGTTCAACCTACATGTACGAAATTTTCTGGGGACATGTATCATATCAAGACGCACAAAAAAGCCTCAAGAACCCATATGATGATGATGATTTACACACTTTGTACTTTAACGAACTCCTCCTAGGGATTTAGTCCGACCAACCTCAAATTTCTGCTGTGCCTTCTAAAGGCATTGAAGATGAAAAGTTGTGCTATTTGCGAGTTTTCGTCAATGGGTGTGTCCGTGGCGTGGCGTCAGAGATCAAGTCTTCGCCATGACACAGGAAGTTGTTGTAACTTACGTGTACATGCTCACATCTGAACCAAACTTTACGTGCTTGATAACTCTCCCACCCCGCAGACATCTACACACCAATACCGATTTATATTCATAGCGGCAAGTGCTATGTAGCTCCACATAGGTGACACAGGAAGTGACATATAACACCTTCATGCAGTGTCGGAACCGCGTAGCAAATTCACAGCCGCACTGGCAGAGCTCCAGAATATGCAACTCGGCCGGCTCACACCCGGACACGCTACAAGTGCGAGGGCTCACCCAACGCTGCTTGCAGCTTTAATTTATGTGTGTGTTTTAATATTTTTGTCTGTTTTATTCTTCCTTTGTATTTTTTTTACTTATTTATTTTCACCCATGGTATTTATTTCTGCCTGTCCTTTTTACATTTCTGTATGCATTTCTGCCTCATTATGCAAATGAGGAGGGGCTGTGTCTCAAGGGGTCAACTTCTGCCCATTGGTGGACCAGTCAGACGGGAGAGCTCTAGACCTTCTCTGCTTGCACACATCAACAAGCTGCTCTTCACACATTCAGATGGCTTCCTTCAGTGCACTGAGGTGTTTAGCAACTCTGTTTGAAGACACTACCAGCCATGTCTTCCTTCTCTTTCATGTGGACACTCTGACCTACAGAGTTTTCAATTAGCGACTTATACGTACACAGAACTGCAGGAAAGTGAGCTGGATTGTTTCTGAGAGCCACATCTAAATCTGGAGTGCACTCCTATTCGAGTATTTACGGTAAATGCTCCCACACGGAGCAGCTCCTTGCTCTGCTGTTTTCAGCAGCTGTTTCAACAAAAACGCTATTCAGAACATAACCATATTCTTCAGAGGAAAAGAAGAAGGAGGAGAAGGAGAGCAACAAATAACCCCCAAACAATAAAATAAATTCCTTTTATATTTCCCTGCCTTGTTGTTTATGTGTACATACAGAGGAAGAATGAGAGAACAGCACACATTTCATCGTTACTGTGTGTTAGAGCATGGGAGAACAGTGGATACTTTTAATACAGCCCACACCCCTAATACTGTGTAACTATAACAAGTAGAGAACAGAAGAAAAAGATGTTCTTTCTTTACAACTGTCTGCATAGCTTATTCATATTGTGTAATGAATGAAAATAAATAGGCCTACTAGGCTCCTCTCTACTTTGACATTTAAGATTAGCTTGTTTGATCCACCTTCATACACATGTGACATTACTGTACAACTTGAGAAAGGTGAGTTGTTTTCTGCTCCAGCCTGCCTAAAAGAAAAGCTGTGTAAGTAAAATATATAATCTTTACAAATTCAATAGGGACCTGGCACGGTTGTGCTCGGGCCCTAAAAATATAATCTTTACAAATTCAATAGGGACCTGTTTTTGAAAAGGAATACAAAATATGTTGTGCAGTTTAATTGTTAATATGCGACTTCCTGTGTTTTGTCCGTATGCAACCTTTAGTAGTCTTTCCTACAGTTTTATAAATGAGACCCCTGGATAGACCAAATTAATGTAATGGTCCCACATGGTTTAAATATCTTGTTAAGATAGATAAATAGAGATAGCAGGGGGATGAAATGCAGCATAGGGAAGGCTGGAATAGAACCCAGTCCACTGCTGCAAGGACTTAGCCTTAGTACATGGAAGTGCATTCACTAACAGTAAGAAATCCCAGCTCTAATGGAACGTTAAACCATAAAGCATAAGAGACACATGTATAAATGCGTGTCCCAGCATTCACGGGATTCATGTCAAAACATCAGCTTATTGACTGTAAACAAATCGAAAAACTACATGAGGTGGTTCTTTTGCTGTTTTTAATCCTCTGTAGAGTTGTTTTTTTTCTGATGTTGTTTCTGTAGCAACAGCATTATAATAGCTAATTATAAAACAAATACTAATATGTCTCAACAAAGTCTGAGACTGAACCTGGGGTAGCCAAAACTTGTCAGTATGATAAAATGTGCTGGGATTAATGCCATGACCAGTGTTTGTATATATCGCTCTGTATTTTGTGACAGAAGAAAGATTAGCTTACCAATCAGCAGAGCTACACATAACAGAATAGCCATCAGAGCTCCAGTACTGAGGCCCACAGGCAGGAACATGGCCTCAGCTGAGCAGGTAAGCAGCAATCCTTGTGCCTCACAGGAACACACTCGGATAGTGAGGGTGGCTGTGCTGCTCTGGGCAGGGTAACCACTGTCTTCAAGCAAAATAGGAAGAAAATAGACGTCCTGCACCCGCTGCTGGAAGCCTGAGCGTCGAGTCACAACGCCAGCCGTGTTGTCTGGAAACCGACAGAGGATAATCACTGACAATGTTCCAGATAGTATTTTTCACTGTCTTGTTGGTGTCACATTTCTTCTTTGAGTTTCAATGGTGGTTGGCAAACCAGCTTATATATGCATTACCGCCACCTACTGGCCTGGAGTGAGGAGCTGTAGATTGGCAGAAAAAGTTAAAGAATAAGTTCTCTATTATTCCTTTTACTCTTTAAGTGGCCATATTATGGGATTTTCTCTTTAGTGTGTTATATAGCTTTTAGTGCATGTAAAAGTTCTGCAAACTTACAAAGCACAAAGACCACACCTGAGGGAGATCCTGTCAGATACCACTCCTCCTGTCCTGGCAGAATTGCTTTGTTTGGATTTCAGCCTTTTCTTCCATTACTTACTTACAGTACGTCACTATGTGCTGTCTGAACAATAAATGCGATGATGTGTTGAGAAGAAATCCGCTTGACACTGTTCTTGATCATAAAAGTTTATTACATCAAGGAATTCAGCATCAATTACAAGCTCTGCAGCAGCTTGGAGAGTGACCCAGCCCGATAACCACTCTGTCTCTCTGTACATCAAACACAGCTTATATAGAACATGTTTAGGTATCTGCTAAATACCATATAAGGGTCCAGTCCCTTCATAAACACTAATCTCTACTCCCCCTATCACTGGGTCACAGGTCAAATTCCATAGGAGGGTTCACTCTTTACACACCCATCAATCATTACACACCACAACTACATAACACATTCTAACACATTTGCATTTTGCCTTCCATGGTCACCATAGCTACAGCCATACATGTGCAGAGGGGGATGCGCTGGGTGCTTGAGCACCTGCCCTTTTGCCCTTTGATGCCCAAAGAGCCCTTTTGTCAATGCAAAATAGGCTATCCTTTATTTAATTTTAAATTTGCAAAGGCCCTTTTGTGAAGGCCTGCCTAATCTAACTATTAGTAAAATGAATGAAAAATAATTTCGTAGTAAGTAAAATGACCCATATTATAACCTTTCACCTGATGACCTCATCCATGATGAGCCTGTTCAGACACCATTAGTGATTCAGCAGCACTACAGGCCACCTTTGATTCTTTTCACTTGAACTAGGATTATTACAGTAATTAATTATAACAACAGGCTTATACTAATACTTATTCCCCCAAATTATAGCCTACTTATCAGCCCTTTTTTAAATGATCATTTAATTCAGAACAATATTGCATTTTAACAGCAACAGTAGTGTTTACAACAGCAAAACTACCATAAAAACTCAATAACTGGAAATACATTTAAAAACATCAGTGTCAATGTAAAATAAATAATATTCCTGACATAAAAGTAAAGAGAAATGAAAAGAAAAGAAGAAAAAAGAAGAAAAGAAATGGCCCTAGTAGATTTTAGAAAAAGGAATTAAATGTTGTGAAAGATTATGTTTATTAGGGGCCAACAGAATGAACACACACACACATCTTAGTGTCATAATGTGAGAACTTTTGGAATCAAAGGCAGACTTGGAACAGCTCAAAGGGGTATCAAAGGATTTTATTGAGATGTGCAACAGAAGGCTGGGAGATATGTTTCAACAAGGCACCTCTACCTGCAGCAGTCGGTGTGCAGCAGTCTCTGTGAGCATCTCCCTCATATTTTCTCATAGCAGTCTGCCTTTGTAGCGGCTGTAGCACTACAGCAGGTCAGTCAGTGTAAGCCAGTCCTAAACACTTAACAGACTTTACATCTTGTCATGGTCAGATAATTGTTTAATCAGCTAATATACATCCTATGTTTGTTTTAATATCTAGTCACAGATCACCTCCAGTAGTATCAGCAGCAACCAAAGCAGCAGCAGCAGCAACATCCCCAGCAACCCCTCAACAGCAACTGTTCCCTGTAAGTTCTGTCAGCCCGCCGTGTTTTAAAGCTGGATTTGGGTATTCCCTGTGTTTCTTTTTCAAAACTGTATCACAGCATTTGCTGATGTAACGATACAGAAGCTTCCGTATATGCATATAAGCAAGAAATAAATAACAATATATTTCTGTATCAATATTTTGGCAGCCCTAATTAAATCCTTGTTCCATGTGCTCCTTTTATACTTTGAGCACCTGCCCTTCCAAAGGTCTCTGCAAGGCATTGAATAGACCAGTGTTACCAGCTGTTTAGAATCCCTTTATCTAAGAGGCATGGCTTTTCCTACACACGCTCTAAGCAGTTGACTAGTCACAACAGAATGGGGTTAGAACAATCAGAGCAGACTGGGCTTTTTCGGGAGCGTTTCAGACAGTAGGTAATGCAGAAATGTACATGTGAGAAAAAGTATGCGTTTTTTGAACACTGAAGCATGTAAACCTATTCTAGGACCCCCAGAATAGGGGAAGAAGAGTGAGGGGTGGAAGGATGAGGGGAGAAATCAGGACAAGGGGGATGGAGGAGGATGGGAATACACGTGGGCACCTCTCCTTAGGTGTCAGATGTCAATTCCCCTAGCTTTTTGTTGCACTTACTAGAGCCCAGCTGGCAAATTGTTTTTAAAGCAAAGCAGCCTGAAAGTTGAATCTTGCGGACTGACTAATGCTACACAGTGTTTGTGGGCACCCGAGTGGCCGAAGTTCTGGAGGTAACAGAACCACATTCATGGCGGTATATTGATTCAGCAAGGAATCCCGCTGGTGACATTAGAACGAGCAAGACATTAAGGGGTCTTGCTGAGCCAAACAGATGGTAGTAGGGACTCACTTTCCTTCTCCATGGGCCAGAAAATTGGCTGGTTAACAACAAGATACAGCATGAGAGCTTCCCTAATGAGCTGAAGCTTCTTAAGGCAGGAAAGCTCATCCCCACCAACAGTAGACTATGTGCTTGTGTCAAGAACTGGACAAGTTAGGAGAAGTCATCACAGAGGTGGGAGACATTCTGCATAGTTAGGTCTGACCGCAATGCATCCCATAGTCCTGGATCCAGATCACTCCAAGGTGCTTAAAAGATTATGACACTTATGTCCTCCTGGGTCAGAGATTATTTTCAGATATCCAACAATCAAATGCCTAACTGTCGTGGGTTGGTCTCTCTCCCCTCTTTTCCTCTTGTTCTCAGTTTCCTCGCCCCTGTTGTTTCTGTCAGTCATGTGTGTCTTGTCCCATGTCTGTGTGTGGTTGGGCGTGTCCGAGCCTGACCTCTCTCCACCTGCAGCACTCCGCACCTGGGACTCATCAACTCATCAACGCCTGCAGTCTTAAGCTCTGGTTCAGTCTCCACTCGTCGCCTGTTTGTCCATTTACCCACAGTGGTATATCGCTCCGGCCTATTTCCTAGTTTGCCAAAATACCTTTTGTGATCTTGCCTAACCTCTTGTTTCCTGTCTGCCACAGTTTCACCCTGGTGCGGAGTCGCTGCCTGCCTGCCTGAACTCTGGATTGCCAGCCCGTTGCTCTCAGCCTGCCTGTACTCAAGATCACCAGTCCATTGCTCACTGCCTGCCAGTCCGCCTGCCCATCTCTGTGCTCTTAAAATAAAGTCCTGCCTGTGTGCCTGCCAACTTCCGCTCACGAGTCCTTTCTGTGATCCCTAACACCTAACTACTAGAACTAGGCATCTAGACATCCTGACATCACACAGTGACATTGATTCACACCTGCTTGGAAAATCTCTGACCAGGGGGCTAACTTTGATGCCAAGCAAAGGATTGCATTTCAGTTTAATCCTTCAGGTATCCTCCACTTTGAGAGAGAGATATCCACACTGTTAAAACAGTGGTCAACACCATGTTTGGAGCCGAACGTTAGCTTTTTGGACGTGTTACCAAGGACACCCAAGAGCAGATGGACACATCAGCACTGGGTTGTACCTGTGTGTAATTTCTAACTTAAGTTGGAGTTTACGTGCTACTAACGTTTTAAGGGTTGCACTAGCTGAAATACGTCCAACGCAGACATAAGTTACAACTTAAATCTTACACCTAGCCCTTAATAGGTGTAAAGTCCTCCATAAAGTAGTCGAGCGGTTGACGCATCATTTGAAAGGTGGGATAACTTGGATGAGGAGGAGCAAATTATGTCGGCTGTTTTGCATCGGCAACGTGTTCTCTCTCCATGATTACACCCCTTGGACATTTATGATGATATTGATTTGTACTCACGCTTTCGTTTCCATGCACGGAGATACTGAGGATTACCGACCTGCTGGCAGTTGACTTGCAACACTACAGACAGAAACGGTCCCCTCAGTCCTTCCCTACAAGTGTGTCTATATTTTGCTACAGGATCATTTCAAAACTTGGTTGGTGATTCAATTCAAGTGCATAAATCTACTGTGTAGAACAATGAGAGCAGTTGCACTATAATTATGTCAGTGCTTTAATGACTATTTAAGTTTCCAACTCAGCCCGAGCAACAAAATATGACCCGTCGGAAGCTCTACCAGATGGCCGGTTTCCCCGACATACTTGGCTGCATAGATGGCACGCACATCAGAATCAAGGGACCCAAATCAATGAGAATGACTTTGTAAACAGAAAGGGATACCACTCAATCAATGCTCAGATCGTATGTGATGCCGACCTTGTTATACCAATGCTGTAATCAAATGGCCTGGGGCAAAGCATGACAGCTTCATCCTCAAGCAGTCTAGCCTTTGGAGAGACTTGAGGCAGCAAGTTACCCCGGAGGTTGCTTGGTGACTCAGGGTATCCACTGAGAAAATGGCTCATGACCCCATAGCTAAACCCAGCAAGTGTCAGTGAGCAGTGCTACAATTCAGCACACACTAAGACCAGAAATGCGGTGGAGCAGTGCATAGGTGTTCTGAAGAACCGATGGGCCTGTTTGCAAAGAGTAGGCCTGTCCAATTCTATTTTATTCAAGTTAGAATCTATGGCCCCGACCATGCCTCTTAAATATCAGAGTACAGCACAGCATACAAGCACTGTACGTTAACCTAACTGTGCTGTGTATTGATAAACCCATGGCGCTGTCCCTGCTGCTGAAGTAGAGGACGGAATTGTGATTGTGACTTTTTCTTTGAGTCCCGCACTACTGTCATTTTAGCTTGGATCTATAATATTCAAACTATAGACTTAAGTAA